GGACGTACAGCTGCGGTGGCAGTGGCAGTAGACCTGCCGATCACCGATGAATTTACAGAGCGCATGCTACTGTTCAGGACTGATCGGCTCGAGTTGAGCTCAGACGACACGGACGAGTCTGCTTGCACCTCATTAGCGTCAATCTCTCTCACATTTTTGTGATTGGAGAAGCCGTACCGACAGCGGGCGTGTCGTTCCATCTCTTGGCCTTGGGTATGTGCACCGATACGCCGCTCTCGAGGGGTTTGACGTTGTACGCACCAACGCCAGGGATGTCCGACTCCTTCTCCTTAAATCTGCTGCTTTTCATAAACATCTTCGTTTATCGTTCGTTTATCTATCTATCACGGGATCTCTTTGCTCAAAGCCAACGAACGCACTTAAGCGTGGGCTTCAGCTGCAGCAGGACCGAGGATTTTTAATTGATTGAGGACTGGCGTTGTGCCGTCCGCGTTCCCCTGGCGTTTTGGCGCGCCAGCCGTTGCCACCAAACGTTGGTGCCGTTCGCGCCAAAATGCATGATGCATGCTTGGCATTCTTCCTTGTTATGCGACGTATTTAGGCGGAAATCCGCCGGAACGGTTCGAAAGAGGCGATATGTCCGGTTGGGGAAGCACAACTTGCCTTGGCGTGCTGCACCACGGCCCCAGCCAACGTGGGGTTTGTCCGAAATCCCCGCCTCGAGTCGCACAAAGGGAAGGCGTGGCCTCTCGGCGGAAGGTTTGTGTGGATGCTTGACGGGGCCGCCAGTTTGACAAAGAGACCTCAAGTTTTGCAGACGACGTGGCCAGAACTTGAAGGCGCAAGAACACAGATAGAGCAATACGAAACACACAGAAAGATGATGCTGCCAACACCACCCTTCATGGCCGAGCCCATTCTGCCGTCCCTGGAGCTCACCATCGCGCTCGTGGTCGGCACCGTTGGGGCGCTCATGCTCGTAGCCTTCCACTTTGCCGAATCCAACGCTGCCATGCGAGGCCGCAAAGGCCAGCCCCTCCCAGGTACTGCCCCCCCCCGGTTTTTCCCTCTTGCCACCCCTCATGTGACCTTCCGCAGACCTCGGCCAAGAAGAAGACGAGCTAGACGTCTTGTCTGACTCCGTGGTTGTGGTGTGGTGTGACCGCCTGTCGGTGACATGATGATGGCGTTTTGCGCAGCTTGGGTGGAGCGGGCGCTTCGGGTATTTTTCTTGGCGGTGCTGGTGGGTCCGATGACCTACGTGGTCGACCGCTTCCTGTTCCACTGGCCCGTGCTCACCCTCTTCTGGATCCTCTACGCCGTCCCCTACACCGATCTCTCCGAACAGAACGGCGGCAAGGTACCGCCGTGTGCGGTGGTGGGTGTGTGCATGTGCGCGTCGTCGTGTCTCACGCTTGTGCCGCGATGCAGACGCCACGACTGCGTAAGTGCCCGATGTGGAACCTGGCCAAGAAGTACTTCACACTCGACCTGGTGCGGACCTGCCCTCTCGACCCCGAGAAGCAGTACATCTTCGCCATCCACCCCCACGGTACGCCCACACTCCGCTCTTCTCTCCCCACTGCTCCGGCCGTGTGCGTCTGCTGTTGGCTCGCTCACCACTTTCTCGACTGTCTCTCGCGTGCAGGCATCCTCCCCGTCGGCACAACTGTGGCGATGGGCTACGAGTGCAAGGGCGGATTCAAGGACCTGTTCCCGGGCATCAACTTCAAGACGCTTGTGGCCACGTTCGGCTTCTATGTGCCCATGTACCGAGGTGCGCTGAGCAGTGATCAAGTTGTGGTGTTTTTGAATCGGCGGCGAATGCTGAGCAGCGATGGTGCAGAGTTTCTGCTGTACTCGGGAATGGCGGATGCGTCGCGATTCTCGGCGAAGAAGCTGCTGGAAGACAAGATGTCCATCGCGCTGGTGCCCGGCGGTGCGACGGAGGCGCTCTACGTGTCTCCCGAGAAGGATGTACTCTACCTCAAGAACCGCAAGGGCTTCATCAAGCTCGGTATGCCCACACCGACACACACGCACACACGCACACGCACACACACACAAGCACACGGCTGATCAGTTCTTCTTCAACTTCTTCTTCAGCTATGGAGCATGGTACGCCGATTGTTCCGGTGTTCAGCTTCAACGAGAACAGCACCTACAAGCTGTACCAGGGCGGCAACAAATTCATAAACGACTTCAAGCGCCGCTTCCAGCGGGTGTTCGGCCTGACGCTCCCGATGGTGCTCAACGTGGTGCCGAAGCGGGCCAAGATCACGGTCGTGGTCGGCCAGCCCGTCGACATGCCGCTCAACAAGGACCCCTCGCCCGAGGAGGTCGACCGCCAGCTCGAGGTCTACATCGCCAAGCTCAAGGAGCTCTACGACGCCAACAAGGACAAGTACAACGACTCCAAGAGCAAGCAGCTGGTCATCATCTAAAGCCAGCCCCAGGCAATGCCAACTGTGAGATACCACCCATTCAGGCACTGGTGCTGTGTGGCTATCGCTCCACCAGAGGTCCCTATTTTGCACATACTGTTAAACATGTACATAAACACTCTCTTCTTACTCCTCTTAATAGTTGGAGGTGGTCTGTCACATCATCAGATAGCCAACATGTCAAAATCACAAACATACCACACAGCAAGATGAATGGAAGGAATGTAGACAATGAATAAGAACTATTCGGCGTTGGTGGCCGCGAGAGGCGGCAAGGCCCACTCGGCGGGGTCAAAGTGCTCCATGCTCTCCAGGATGAGGTCGGCCTCGGCGAAGAGCGAGCGGTCGTTGAGGGGATGGGGGATGGCCACCACCTGCATGCCCGCCGCCTTGGCCGCCGCCACGCCGTTGGGCGCGTCCTCGAACACCAACACGCCACCAAAGTCGGCGTCAGCCACGCCCTGGCAAAAATGATGACGTCAGCACACGACGCACACGACACGCGGCACGCGGCACACGACACGACACACACGAGTTGTGAGCGCATTGAGAGAGAACAAGGCGTACGAGGCGACGAGCGGCCTCGATGAAGATGTCGGGCGCGGGCTTGCCGGCCTTGACCGCGGGATCGTCGCCAGTGACAACCGTCTCGAAGAGGGTAAACCAGTCCTGGTGCTTAGTCGTCTTCAGCTCGAGAGCCTTTGTGTGCGAGCTCGTCGCTGCACCACACACACACAACAACAACAGCGCGAGCGTGTGAGCTGAAGTGAGAGAAGTGTGTAGTAACCGTTGGTGTGCGTGCCAACGGCCTTGCGGACGCGGTGGTGGTGCAGGTGTCGGACGAGCTGCTGCACGCCCGGCAGGGCCTTGGCCTCGGGGAACAGCTCGTACTGCCGCGGGCGCACGAACTCCAGGTAGTCCTCCGCCGTGATGGGCAGCTCCAGGTCCTTCACGGAGATGGAGATGGAGATGAAGATAGATGAACACAAACTCGTGGGGCGGAGATTGAAGGAGAACATGAGAAGAGATGAGCGTGGCTGCGTGGACGGCAAGTACCTGGATGAGGATGAGGGCAGCCTCGGGAGCGGTCTTGCCCATCATCTTGGACTTGACGGCCCAGGTGAAGGTCTTGCCGTAGGGCTCGACAAGCTCCTGTGTGATGCGGGTGTAGACCTCCTCTGTGTCCAGCAGCAGGCCATCCATGTCAAACAGCACCGTGTGAATCGTTCCTCTCGTTGCTCCCTCCATCTTCCTACAACAAAACAAATAAATAACAAAGAAAAAAAAACAAAATCAAAGATAAACACATAAAATGACTTGGAATATTATTCCTGGATGCGCCAGCTGAAGAGCAAGAGCAAGTGGTAGCTTGTGCATTTTTGTAAAATGGAGCGGGTCTCATCATCCACATCACTGGCGCCGTCTGGTGCGCAGCTCAAATTAAAGAGGGCGCATGGGCGAAAGGCGAGCTCATTCGCGGGCGGCGATGCATGGCTGGGAGGCGCATTTCGCGATCGAAGTGTCTTCTTCAAAGAGCACCGCGAGAAGGCGCGAGCATCTTCTTCCTCTACATCCCTCTCCTCGTTCGAGCCCCTTGGAAGCAGCAAGGAAATCGAACTCCATTCCTTGGTGTCCTCATCATCCTCTACCTCCACCTCATCTTCATCGGCCATCATGGCCGGTACGGACGAGCTGCGCATCAACGTGCCACCCGCTTGGCTGCGTCTCGTCGACGAGTCCCACTACGACCTCGAGCGTGTCAAATCCAAGAGTACTAAGCCCTCACATCAATTAAAACAAATATAAAATACTAATAATTATTATTTGCGTAGCAATAATTAAATAGAATAAAATAAATGATTTCAATACTACATTTATATTTATATTACTACATTTTTATTTTGTGCACAACAGTGAAAGAGCTGGACGGGATGCATAAGAAGCACCTGCTGCCCGGCTTCGACGACCGCGACGCCGAGGAGATCGCCATCCAACTCCTCACCGGCGAAATCACTCAGGTACCCCTCGTCATGTGGTGTGCGTGCGCGTGCGCGTGTGCGTGTGCGGTCGTGCGTGTGTGCGATAAGGTGTGATCGCCAGAGCGCATTCAACTCACCGGCGACTCCGACGAGCAGTTGATGCAAAAGTGTCAGCAGCGGGTGGTGAAGTTGGGCAACATCAAGAAGGGCATCTCCGACGAGCAACTCAGGTTCGTCGCGCCCGGCAGCATCGCGTGTGTCGTGTGCGTGCGTGCGTGCGTGCGTGCGTGCGTGCGTGCGTGCGTAACTAATGAGCTCATTTTTTGCAACGCACGCATCCGATCACCAGGCTGAAGCAAAACATTCGCCTGAGTCTCGCCGGCGAACTGCAAGAGCTCTCCTCCGTCTTCCGCCAGTCTCAAAAATCTTATCTGCAGAGTACCCACCCGTTACATCACGCACACGCACACGCACACGCACACGCACACGCACTGGCTAACGCAGCTGCCGTGCAGAGTTGGAGGCGAGGCGGGACAGGAGTCGAGGAGGCGCCTTGCATTCGGGGGACAGGGACATGGAGGGGGTCGACCTCTACGGCGGGATGAGCGCCCAGGACGAGGAGATGATGGCCGACACCGGCTTCTCCGGCTCTCAGATCAAACAGATCGCCGTCCTCGAAGAAGACGTCGACCAGCGGTTCGCGCCCCCCTTTTTGTTTTGCTGCACCACATACTCCCCAGTGCTGACGATCGCACACGCACACACCGCACACACGCACACGTCGCACGCACCGTAGATCGAGAGACATTGTGTCGGTGCAGGAGTCGATCGTGCAGCTGGCGGAGCTGTTCAAGGACCTGGCGGTGCTGCTGGTGGAGCAGGGCACGATCCTGGACCGGATCGACTACAACATCGAGCACACGTGGGAGAACATCGACAAGAGCGTGGCCGAACTGGGCCAGGCCGAGAAGTACCAGAAGAAGACCGGCTACAAGCTCTGCATGCTCCTGCTCCTCTTCATCATCGCCGGACTCATCATCGCCCTCGGCCTCAAGGTCATCTTGTAGAAGCCAACACATCAACAAAAACATGTTTGTTTTTTTAACATCACGTTCTGTTCAACCCCACATGTTATGTATTTACCAACAAAAACTATCTACACGCGCCCACACTGAGAAGAGTCAAGAAGAAAAAGAGGACGAGGAGGAAGAAGAGGTCCCGTTGCCCCGAGTCTGGGTGACGAGCTTGCAAGCCTCCTGCATGACCTCGAGCAGCAGGGTCCTGTCCAGCTCCAGGAAGCTCTTGGTCTTCGACACCTGGTCAAAGTTGGTCACCACAAAGTCCTGTTCCCACGCACACACAACAACACACCACGCACAACACACAAGGGTGAGCCACTCACGTTACGTTACACGCAGGAATGGGACAGGAGCGGTGGGGGGGGGAAGAAGGATGGGGCGTACGAGGGCGATGGAGCGGAGACGAGGGACGGCGTGGTAGCTGCCGACCTGGTAGACGTAGGCGGCGTTCTCGATGTCGATGTTCTTGGAGATCAGGTCCTCGCACAGCGCCTTGAGCCGCACCAGCTGCAGCTTGTTCGCCTCTCCGATCTGCACAGCGTTCATGCCAGAACCACAACCCTTCAGCACCAACCATGTGTGTGTTGTGTGTGTGTGTGTGGGCGCTCGTGCGGTGGTCTGAGTACCAGCTCGATGGCGAAGTCGGGGTCGGGAATCTTGACCTGGCCGGAGTAGATGAATTCGAGGCAGGCCATGAAGGGTACGTAGTCGGTGTCGTGCAGCACCACCTCACTGTCGCGCGACTCCTTCAGCCCGCTGCTCTCCCGCCCCCACAAGATCAGCGCACGCACTCATTTGAGACAGAAAGAGAGAAAGAGAAAGAGAGAGAGAAAAGAACGAAGCGAAGGTGGTGTGGAGTCCTACTTGGAGAACATGGCGCGGAAGTGCTCGGAGCGGACCTGTAGGATGAAGCGATGCGCCGGCACCTTCCTGCCCTCCACCACAAACGTCACCTGCGGCACAATTAAGGTCAGTGACCAGTGCCGTTGGCGCCTAGACGACAATCATTAACAGGGGAGCGGCCGTACGTCGGACAGGTCGGGGTTGTTGAGCAGCCGGGCAAAGTCCTGGACGAAGGTGTCGGGCGGGATTTCGATCGTGGTCGCCTTCTTCCGCTCCAGCGCCAGCTGCGCCTCCTTTATCTCCGCATCCGATGGCACCTTCAGGTCTGCAAGTACGTGTGCGACTTAGCGTGTGTGTGTGTGTGTGTGTGTCGTGCGGCCGTACCGCCATAGCGAACGCTGGCGAGCTTGTCGATGGAGGTGGACTGGCCGTCGGCGCTCTTGGTGACTTTGACGAGGGAGTCCTCGTTGGGCGTGACCAGGATGCCACCGGGGTTGAGCAGGTCGACCAGCGACTGCAGCCGCGGCGTCGGACAGCAGGCGCCCACATGAATGCGATCGTACGTACGCTCCTAGCGCTCACAATTCACCATCAGTACCGTGTGCGTTGTGTGTGTGTGTGTCGTGTGTGTGTGTGTGTGGTGCGCACCTCGAGATCAGGGAGGAAGCAGTTGCGGACTTCAAAGTGTAGATTGGGAAGCTCCAGCCCGGTCTCCACCTTCAGCCGCTGGAGGTTGTCCTCCGCGAACCGCTTGTACTCCGGCAGCAGGTCGATCCCGTCCGCCCTGCCCGCCTGCAATCCGACGGACACACAGCACACACCACTCGCATCAGCACCAGACACGACACGCACGACACACATGAGACACGACACGCACGACACACGCACGACACACACATGCGAATGTTACCTTGCCAACGAGCTGGCCGCCGAGGGCTGTCATGTGGCCACAACCGGAGCCGATGTCGAGGAAAGTGTGGCCGAGCTCGAGCCCGAGGGCTTCGAGGCACATGGCGTACATGTGCGGCGCCGAGATGTTGAAGCCGAACGCGGCGAGCCGGAGCGGCGTGTCGACGTAGGCCTGGTCTGCCAGGTCGGCAGGCACGAACGGGCCGCGTGGCACGGCCCGCAGCGCGGCTTCCACCTCGGGCGACCGCAGGGCTCCGCTACGCTTCAAGCTCGCGATCAACTGTCGACATCAAAATCAAAAAAAAGATGAATAAATAATTATTACAAAAAAGGATAAATGATTATTTGTTGATAGATTGATGTTGTGAGTGGAGGTGGGCAGAGGGCGTACTTCGTCGTTGGTGTCGTTGGTGCGCTGGCGGGTGACCATGGCGGCGAGGAGGTGGTGCAGGAAGGCATTGTTGCGCGCGGCTTCCTCCTCATCCTCTTCCCGCTCCTCTTCGTGCTCTTCCTCCTGCATCGAATAATCTAAAAAAATCAGCGGATTCAATCCACTTCTACGCCTATTCTGGCCACATACTACGTGGTAGGTGGTTACGTACATGTTGATCGTCGCCCCCTCCTGTGTTCATTTTGATTTGTGAAGCCTGTACTACTCGCTGCGATTGTTGCTTGTTCTTTATGTTGATGCCCTCGCCTTGTGGTTGACCTCTAGACCTCTTTCTGCTGAAAATCTTGAGTTGTTGTCAACAGAAGGCCTGTCATGTCTTGGACTGAACTTTCCTCCTTGCCAGGCCAACTGCTGGGTTGTGGCCCAGAATTCACAAGGTTTTCCCTGTGGCCCATGAGGCAGCAGGAAGGGCCATGCTGCATCATGTCAACATGTGCAACACGTGAGTGAATGATATGGTGTGATAGTGTGCAATCCCAGAGCGCTATCAAGATTCAGGGTGGCCTGAACGAGAAGAGGTGTGATTGATGCCAGCAACACAAAAATGCAACCAAGAAGACATGACAGGGTGTTTGAAGGTGTTCTGACTGTACAGCAAAGAAAACTGGATAAGATGAAGATGAGGAAATGACCATCAAGCGCTGAGGTGCAGGTTGTAGATTGGAGGTTGGAGTTCTTTCTTCAGTGGATGATCTCGGAGATGAGACCCGCGGCGACAGTGCGGCCGCCAGAGCGCAGCATGAAGCGGCCGAGCTGCTTGTAGTCGCGGAAGAGTTCGATGCAGACCGGCTTGAGGGTGACCACCTCTACGACGGCCGTCATCTTCTCGGTGAGGCAGCGCGGCCGCTTCTTCTTGACCTCGCCCGAGGCCTGGTCGATGATCGCCACCAGCTTGCTCAAGTGTGCCGGCTCGTGCAAGGTGTGCGTGTGCATCACCGCTTGGAATCCTTGTGTGCGACCACCGCCACAATTTGAAGTGAGTCCGGGTGAGTGTCGTGTGTGTGTCGTGTGTCGTGTGCGTCGAGTGTGTGTCGTGCGGTAGACCCAGTACCCTTGATGATGGGGATCTGGGTGGGGAAGACATAGATCTGCGCCTTGAAGGCGGTGGCCACGCGCACGGGGTGCTCGGGGTCGCACAGCACAGAGCCCACCTTGAACGACACCACGTCGAGGCCCTGGACCGTCAACTGTGTGCCCCCAGTGGAAGGAGAAGATATTCGTGAGTGCAACTCCCCACAGAGCCAGGACTCAAGGGAACTCGTGTGTGTGTGTGTGTGCGCGCGCACCTCGACGTTGTCTCCGGCCTGCGCCCACTTGACCGATTCCTCGTGGGCCTGGATGGACTTGACCGTACACAGCTCGCCGATGGGCATCACCAGCAGCTGTCACAGACGCACACGGCACGCAAAAAGTAGGTAAGCAGCCGGCCAGTTGGGCACGGAAGAAGGTGGTGGGCGGGGTGCCTTATCGCCGACGGAGACGATGCCGGTCTCGACCTTGCCCACGGCGCCCACACCCAGCGAGCCGCTCTTGAACACGTCCGACACGCAGAACCTGAGCGGCTTCTCCGTGGGCCGCTGGCCAGGCCTGAAGGAATCTGCGCAATGCGGCACGCAACCACGAATAAATGCCAAATTCCCAATAAATAAATAAATAATAAATGAGAAACAATAAATAATGAAAAATGATAAAAGGGAGGAAGGTACCGATGGACTGGACCAGGGTGGGTCCGGAGTACCAGGCGGTGAGCTTGGGGTCCTTGCGAGCGATGAGGTTCTCGCCGGTGAGACCCGAGCACGGCACCCACGTGACGTTCTTCAGCAGGAAGCCGGCCTGCTTCAGGAACGCGCCCACGATGTTCTGCACCTCCTCGAAGCGCTCCTTCGACCAATCGACCTGATGCGTGTTGACGATACGGTGACTTTCCATGGTCGCGCGCACGTAAACACGACACGACACGACCACCGACATGACACGAAGGAACACGACGTACGGCGTCCATCTTGTTGACGACGACGGTGAGCTGCATGACGCCCAGGGAGCGAGCGAGGAGGGCGTGCTCCTTGGTCTGGCCATCGGCGGCGAAGCCCGCCTCGAATTCGCCCGGGCTCGAATCGATCACCAGCACCGCCACGTCGGCCTGCGCCGTGCCCGAGATCTGTCGCGTGCTGACGTCAGCGTCGAGCTCTCGGAAAAAGAAAAGAAAAAGAAAAAGAAACGCACCATGTTGGGTACGAAGTCGCGGTGGCCGGGCGCATCGAGGAGGGTGATGCGCCGGTTCTCGGTCTCGAGCCTGCGCACGGCCACGTCCATGGTCACGCCGCGCGCCCGCTCCTCCTCCTGCTCGTCGAGCACCCACGCGAACGAGAACGAGCCCTTGCCGAGCACCTTCGAGTCGCGCTCGTACTTGGTGATGGTCTTCTTGTCGACGTGGCCGCACAGGTGCAGGAGGTGGCCCATGATAGTCGACTTGCCGGCGTCGACGTGGCCGATCACCACCATCGACAGGTTGCGCTTGGAGCCCTCGGACTGCTGCTCGGCCTTGATCTGCGCCTCAATCTCTCGTCGCTTGCCGTCGGGCATCTGCTTCACCTGCTTCTTTGCACTGTTTTGCGCAGAAGAAAAATGAGTCGGGTGCGGTGGTGCGTGTGCGGCGTGTGCGGCGTGTGACGTACATCTTTTCGCTCAGGCTCACCTCATCGAGGGCCTTGGCGACGCTGTCCACCTCGGCCTCCTTCTCCTTCTCCTTTTCTTCGGCGGCCGTAGCGGCGGCGGCAGCAGGGGCCTTCTTCGGGGTGGCGGGCTGCTGGGGCTTGGCTCCACCGGCGGCCGGCTTTGCTGCTGCGGGCTTGGTGTCCGATTTGATGTTGTATTGCTCGCCTGTCAAATAATTACAGTAATTAATAATACAGCAATTTCATAAGAATAAGAAGAAGAATATAATCATTAGTTAGTCTCACCCACGCGACTGCACGCGACTACGCGACTGCACGCAACCACATGCGCGACAGACGTACTCTTCTTTTGCTTGAAGGCCTGCTTCCGCTTTTCCAAGACCATGTCATCGGGCGAAGGTTCGTTGAAATCGAACGGCTTGACTCCTGGTGTGTGTTGTGTGTTGTGTGTTGTGTATGGGTGTGTGTGTGTGTGTGTGTTGTGTGGTGTG